AAGAAAAGTATTACCCATATTTTCACCACCCAGATCTAGTAATTTTTAATATTTTAGTGATTTTTCTTTCCAATCTTCTCAATTTAATTATCTAAGTTTATCTTAGATAAAAATTTATCTTAATTTTAATTATCTAATGAAAATTACACAGCATATACAGTTTTATCTTCTGCTTTCTTCGCATTATGTCTTAATTTTTGATCATTACATATCTTTATCATCATCACCGTACTTGAAACTATTGTTTTGAATTTTGGCCAGGAGGAAAGGCCTTTTCAACCACATTCCATACATCTTTTAACAATCAGTATACTCATGCCAGTTGACATCAACCAACTTTTATTTCTGTGGTATAATATGTACATAATCAATGTGTGTTCCTAATAAAGAATAGGGTATTCTTATTATTTAAGCTAGCAATAAGTAAAATAAACTGTGCCTTATTATGAAGATGTTTTCAAGATTTACCTTAGAAAGTTATGTGGAAAAGATAAATTATAATAATTTAACCCGATGTTATGTAGCAGTTAAAATTATAATTACAAATATATAAATATGATAATATCTTTATAATTCAAAGCTTTTATAACTTATTAAATACATACATGAAAATCAGAGCTGTTGAAGTACATTTTTCTTTATAATGTTTTAATTTTGTTATGGTTTTGTTTTTGTGATTTAAAAGATAATATTATACATTAGAACATGAATGAATGTGCTAAGGCTAAAATCTTCATTTGGAAAAAAGAAATACTCCTTTTTTGTGACTTATGGAAAGTAGTGATTTTCCTTCTCTGATGCCCCAGGAAGATTCTCACTTAAGAGAACAAATTTAACCTTTGTGTTTATGACATGGTTACTCGTAGGAGAATGTAAAAAGATATATATTTTTATAGTTGGTCAAAAAAGAAACAATAAACTGGGAAAACATTTGTAACAAGACATAAGAGGAAATAACATCTATGTAAAAAGCTCATACAAATGAGTTTTTGAATAGAAGGATATTTAATAGCTTAGTACTTTAAAGGAAAAGGGACATGAAGGCGTACTCTTAGTAAAAAATGGGAAAATGTTCACCCTTGATGCTAATAGCAAATGATATTTTTGAAGGAGAGATTTATATTTCTCTATCAAATTAGTAAAAATGTAAAGTAAATAAAATACTGTAGGACCGATAAGGGTAAGGTACAACAAGCACCCTTGGGCATCACTGGTGTGGTAATTTTATGCAGCTGTCTTGGAAAGAAGTTCAGCAATATGTATCAAATATAAACATATTCATGTCATGTAGGAATTGATGCCAGTGAAATAATCCTTCACACAGAAAAAACAAAGATGTTCATTTTGGTATGACCTGTTATAAAAAAATTAGAACCTTAAAATTCATCAATCAGAAAGTATTTGTCTGTATATATTATACATTTTAAATTATATTTCAAGTAATATTTAAACTTTGATATAAGTGAAAGCTTATGAGAAATAAGTATATAAAATTTCATATGCATCTTCCCACAGTGTGAATTATAGTCAGTTCAAAAAGATATCAAAGATATGAAATACTGATATATGCACAATAATAGTGTTGGTGAGGTTGTGAATTTTAAAAATATCTTTTTCCTCATATTTTCTGTATTTTCTAACTGTGAAAAGACTAAATGATTCAAATAACATTCTTAAGACTAAATCTTAGTGTAACCATGATTTTCCAGTTTTGCTGCTACCAATGTGAGAGTAATAGGCTCTAGGCCTTGAAAAAAATGCCTTGGCCTGCTACAGGAGACAAGCCGGCTTGAGAAAAAGCCAAACTGAGAAAATCCTGAGATGTACCTGCTGCTATCCTTGCCTACTGCTTATTCTTTTAGCTTTATTTATTTATTTTTTGGAAACAGGAGTCTTCGTGTGCCAGGTTAGAGGGTAGTGGCAATCACTCATAGCTCACAGCAACCTCAGACTCTGGCTTAAGCGATCCTCCCCCTGCTCAGCCTCCCAAGTATTGGGACCTACATCACTGTCCACTATACTGGCTTAATTTTTTTTCTTTCTTTTTTTTTGGTAGAGACGGTGTGCTTCTTACTGTAGCTGTCGTGAACTCCGGACCCAAGTGATCCTCTAGCGTTCGGCTTCCCCAGAATCCTAGGATTACAGGCCATAAAACCACTCGCCCGCCACTGGTTGGTGTAGATCTGGTTGGACCTCTTTTTTTCACGATAATGGCTGAAAACTGGACTAGACTCTCTGAAATTGTAAATATCAAAAAAAATCTCTTCAAAGGCTGGTGGCATGGGTGGTTCACCGCCGTTGTAAGTGTCCTAGCACTTGGAGCTGAGGGCGGCAGGATCACTCCTGAAGCCGGAATTCAAGTCCGAGCCTCAGAGGCAACATGTAGCAAGCCCTAGTATCTACAAATAGAAAAATCAATGGGCATGGTGGTGCACCGTGTGAGTCCCAGTCGAGACGAGGCGGTGTGTTGTGTGTGTTGTGTTTTTGTTGAGCTCCAAGTCCAAGAGTTGAGGTGGCGGGCGGGAGTTATAATGATGCCACTACACTATCTAGCCTGGGCAGCAGAGTGAGACCCTGAATCAAAAAAAAAAAAATCTCTTCAAGAATTCAAGAATCTCTTCAATAAAGAAACAGAGCCATTACTTGCGTTTGATTAAAAGACTGTTTATTAAGAACTGTTAAGTGGTTAACTTAAGTGAAATTCCAACTGTAATATCTTAGAAGGCACCTGGCCCCCTGTTTATAAAGAGAAAAAATAAAGGCCAAGAGAAGTCAAGAAACTTATGATCTCAGTTAGTGTTCATTCTGTTAATAAATTATATCTCAGCCTTAATTTGGATATCATCTTTAGAAATAGATACAGTGAACAACTGTCTCATCTGAATAATTTTCATCATTTCAGAAATATACTTCATTATGGAAATCATTGCCAAATAATAAAAATCTAACTACATATTAACATAATTCAGGGAACAAGTTGTCCATGTTGTTTAATTCACATTTATTTACTTCTCTTCCCTCATCTATATAAGAAAAGTTTATTGAATGGAAAATTGATCCAGTTAATCTGCACATTCATTAAAAGTGTATTGAAATTACAACTTACTTTGAATTACATTGTCAGAGTCTATGGAACACCTTAATATTTAAACAAAAAAGTCTACTCTGATGTTAAAATTAAGCCACAACAGTCCGGGCACAGTGGCTCACGCCTGTAATCCTAGCACTCTGGGAGGCCGAGGCAGGAGGATTGCTTGAACTCAGGAGTTCGAGACCAGCCTGAGCAACAACAAGACCCAGTCTCCACTATAAATAGAAAGAAATTAGCCAAACAACTAAAAATAGAAAAAATTAGCTGGGCATGGTGGCGCGTGCCTGTAGTCCCAGCTACCTGGGAGGCGGAAACAGGAGGATCACTTGAGCCCAGGCATTTAAGGTTGCTGTGAGCTAGGCTGATGCCATAGCACTCTAGCCTGGACAACAGAGCGAGACTGTGTCTCAAAAAAATAAATAAATAAATAAGCCACAACAGAACCAATCTCATTTAGTGAAATTAATAAATTTTTTGTCTTGTGCTATAAATTGTCATAAGTTTCATATATTTCTGTCTTCTGGGGATTGAAAATTTATTACATGAAGATTTTTCATATACAGGTATCAGGAGGAAGTAAATTTGAATTGTAACCAAAATGCTGGTGCCACTATTGTTGTTTCATAAGAAACTTATACTTAAGAACTTTTGAAGGATAGTATTTGCCCTTTATTTTTAAAAATAGTTTATATTCTGAAGATTATAAATTTGAAATGAATTTAAGTTAAACTATATATTACATATGTCTATAATAAGAAATAGAACAAGGTAAAATTTTCTTGATTCTGATTAATGAGAAGTTTTTAAAAGCTTTTTGTATTTATAACTTATATGATATGTAATTATATAGGGAACTAGTAAAAGTATACATATCTGAGACATTTATAACTGATTTAATTCTCTGAATGTATAAAGAATTTTAAAGTGAATTTACGTGAAGCAGAATTCACCTACGCTTGGCTTTTATAAAAAGTACTCTGACAGGATTATTAGATTAATCTTTTGAGATTTTGAGTTAAATTTCTGGCTAATTATTAGTGAACTAGAATCTTCTATTAGTTAAATTGCTTTATGCATACCAGATAAGTAAAGATTTGCTTCTAAATTAATACCACAGATTAAACTTACTATATTGTAACTGTTGCAAAGAGGAAATCTTTTCTAAAATGTTGGAGCTACCACAATGCTGGAATTGGACAAGCACTGCTGTCTGTGTTTACTTCATC